CCGCCGATGAGCGGCGGTGTCGGCGGCGGCGGCGGCATTGACGGGTTCGCCGATCTCCTCTGAAGCTTGTTCGACGGCATCCTTCCCTGTCCGGAAGACGACGACGAGTCATCGGCGGAGGCGGTGATTGAGGCGGCGGATGATCGGATCTCTGCCCGAGAGACCCTCGAACGCTTCCTTTGTCCCCACTGCAACAGCATATCTCCGCCGCGACTGGGGCCGGGACTAGAGGTGAGGTTAGCACCGTGAGGATCTTGGTGGGATCCGAGTCGGATGCCTTTGGAAACTCCGACAACGGCTGAGCTGGTGCTCGTGCATACTCCGTTGAGTCCTCCGCAGGAGAAGGATGCTCTGCCGTTGTCTGCGGTGGTGTCTTCCTTTGATGCTCGTGAAGGAGAAGGTCTCAGGTAGTGCTTCTTGCCATTGGTGAGAGGAAGACAATCTGGGCTTACTCTCTGATATCTGTTCAATTGTTTGTTGAATCAAACCCCAAACAAAAGTCAGATCAACAAGAGTGAATCCAAACAGAGGAAGATTAACTGGAAATCAGAAAATGCAACTGCATCCATTGGAGCTACGAAGGGATTTTTTTTAGAACTTCAAGTGTATTTTTCTTCCGATTCCATGTTCTGATTACTTGGATTTATAGTTTTGAAGGTATGAAATTAAAACAACGGAAGAACCTCCGCAATGGTTCGTAGATCTATGGTGCCAAAATCCAAACTTTTCTTCTCTTCATATGAAGATACGGATCTTCGATCGACACAATGTAATCATCAAAGGAAACCGTAAACAATATCCAAAGAAGCAACGGGCTGACGTTAGTGTCAGAACACCGTGAATTTGAATAACTTTTAGATAAAAACCCAGATTCACAAAAACCATAACAAGTTCAAACAAGAGAGAAAAAGCCCACAATCAAAAAGTGGAAATTTCGGTTGTTTGTTCGTCAAACAAAAACAAGCAGACGAAGATCATCAAAACGAGCTACGAGAAGATGAAAGTGGATGAGGGAAACGAAGAAGAACACGATCGAGAAACGGAGAAGACGAAAGAGAGGACCTCATCATTATACCCAAGAGAAAATTCGGTTTCGGGTTTCCGATTCCGATCTGCGATTATTTCCAGATTCTAGGTTTGGTTCATTCCTCCGCCATCCTTTTCCGATACACAGAAAGAGAGAGCAAAAATTACAGGCTCCGTCTACTTCTACTTCTCCTGCTCCTCGTACCGATCACCGGAGGAAAACAGACAGAAGAGGGATAGAGAGAGAGATATGAAAAAAAACCCTTGAAGGAGATGATATATGTGTGTGTATGTATAGAGGGAGGAAGAGGAAGAAGAAGAGAGGAAAAATGGAGGCTCTACGTTAACAGTGAGAAAGAAGGGGGGGAAAGAGGAGGAGAAATAGTGGGTGCGATATTGTGCAATTTCTGTTTCTTATTCAATAAAGTTTTTGTTATTGTTTCTTAACTCCTCCAAATTTTGGATGTCTTCAACTTTCGATCCTATATTTATTTTATTTACAAATTAGTCCTCGGCCCAGTATAAGCCCATTATATGGACCTTCCTCCTCGTTCCGGGCCTTATCCTACGAGACCCACTTGTGAAAGTGAGATCCCCCACCACATTGCGCGATAAATACAAAAAAAAAACTCTTGTGAAAGTATTTATGGGATATATAAAGAATATAATAAAAGATCGTCAAAAGATATAGAAAAGATTTAAAAATATTAAAATAATATTTAGATTTGACACTATTTCAATATTTTAGATATTTATATTGATTAAATAAGGTATTTTATGATTGTGTTTATATTTACAAATATTTTGATATTCTGTTTTGAAATAATGGAATTTTCTAATGGTTTCTAAAAATCAATATTTATGCTGCTAAAATCTAAATATTATGCCAAACTCTCTATGATAATATATAATATTTTAATAGTTTAAGTAGATTTCATGCATCAAGCTAATGCCTACTAATAATAACTTGTATAAGTTGATAGTAGATGAAATCATCTTATGTCAACTAGTGACTTGCTTTCAATAGAGAGATTTTTCCTATTCAGAAGAAACACATTGAAGAAAAATAATTTGAGGGGTGATAAAGTCATATTTAATATATTGGATTCAATTCCGGTGGTGGAGAGAAATGTAATTTTTGGATCAAATGGTCCATGTACAAAGACCGGTCTCGAGTCTAGTGTGGATATAATCTGTCCGGAAAACCATCTTGATTATAAAAAAAAATACTTCGATGTCAAGGACTATGTAGACGTGGATGGTCACGCAACTTATAAAAACAAATGGACCAATGGGAGATAAAATAATAACGGAAGACAAGAGACTCTGAGTTAGTTGATTACCACTTCGTCTCAAATCCTGAATAACAAGGTTGGTCCGCCTGTGGTATTTCCACGGTTCTGTAATGATACCGTACGTAAAGCATGAAATTATTATCTAATAAAAAATTAAATAAAATTATCCATATAAAAATAATATTGATTTTATGTCGTCTTCTGATATTTCGTTTTCCTTCTTACTTGCACGGCTCAACAATCTCTCCACCACTGTTTTTGAACATTTTTTTTCGTAACGCTTATCTATTTTTTTTAATTACGAAATAAGAGAATGGTTTGAATCAGATAAACGTAACTCAAAATGAAAAAAAAAACAAATGAATGCAAAATAAAGAAGAGACATCGAATATATTTGTTACAAATTCACAAGAACATTAAAAAAAATAAAAATCCACAAAAAAAAAACCTTTTTGAAGACAAACAGAAGAGGTGTATCCACACAAGAAACAAAAACCAAATCTGAAAGAATGATATATCGTTTGCTTCTTTTTTTTTTTTTTACGTACACAGAGCTTTGGTTGGATCGCCGGCCACTACGATCTCATGCCTTCGGCGGCACTGGCGCCGGAGTTTCCTCAGCCTTGGCCGGAGTTTCTTCCGTCTTGGCCGGAGCTGCCTCTTCCTTCTTCTCCTCCGCCGGTTTCTTCTCTTCCTCGGCCGGTTTCTTCTCCTCCTCCGCCGGCTTCTTCTCCTCCTCCGCCGCCGGTTTCTTCTCCTCCTCGGCCGGTTTGGCCTCTTCCTTCTTCTCTTCCACTATCTCCTTCTCTTTCTCGCCGCTTGTTTCTTCGGTTTTGGGTTCTTCCGTTTTCGTTTCTTCCTCTGTTTTCACATCCTCGGCGGCAATATCTCTCGACTTTTCTTCGGGCGGAAGGAACTCCGATACCTTCTCGAAGATGAAGGAGACAGGACCCGTCACGTAGCTCAAACCGAAGTTGGTCGAAGCTTCAGACACAGCCTTCGATCCGGGGAATTCTAACACCGATAATGAAAAAGATCCAATTTCAGTACGTATTTGTCGAAGAAAAGCATGAACAAATCAAGAAAAAAGATACCCTATAGTATCACATCAAAACCCTAAAAAACCCTCCAAGAAACTACGTTGATTATTACAGTTGGCATCTTTGATTGCTCATCTGAATATTGCATGATCCAAATGAAGAGCATAGCCATCAGATCACTCGATGTCTGCTTAAACTAAACTTTCGTATCGGATTCAGACAAAGAATGATACAGAAGAGATACGTACAACTGTATTGGTTAAGAGAGATATATGCGGTAAGAGAACAGTTGAAGCATATACCGATTTTGACAAGTTCATCGATGAACTTTTGGACAGCTTCAGAGTGCTTCTTCAGATCTTCCTCCTTGGGATCCCTCACCAAACCCTAGCATGTTTATCAATCAAATTAATCCATTTTAACTGATCATTAAGGTCAACGTGTGGAAAGAATAGGGAGAAGACTAATTAATACAAACGATAAAAATATATATAAATAAAAGAAAAGAACCTTGACATCGGCAGACGCGGCCTCGTAGGTTTCCACGACTTTGGGTTGGAGTTCTGTCTTTTTCTCTTCAATCTCCTTGTTGATCGCCTCCTATCAATCATCACACATACATATACACATAATACATAAATGCCCATTTTTGGTTCAAGATCAATGAGTATGAATCTCATGCAACATATCATAGAGCACTAACAATTACTATGATATAGTTTGTGATGAAATTATTGAATCCTCTTATATATATATATATATACACACACACACACACACCTTGGAGTCATCGAAGGCCTTGATAGCCTCAGCAGCAGCAGCCTTCTTCCCAGGTTTCTTCTCGAACATCTTCTTGATCGTTGGAAGAACCTTTGATTTCCAGTAACCCATCTTCTCTTTATGCGTTAATTGACTTGATAATCCTACAATCAATTAAGGGGAAAAACATGAAAACACCATGATTATTCCGTTGTTCTACGTAATCTCATGAAAATATCTACGCAGAACAAAACAGACCCAAGAACAAGCAGACTTCACAGGGATGAAAATTCACAATCTTTTATATATACAGGTGTATATATATGTATATGTGTGTGTGTGTATGGATGCAACTGCACTTATATGGAGATCTTTTTGTTCTTTTGAGTTGATGAAACTTACTCGAAATTATCTCTGATTCCTTTGGCCTTGTTCTTCCCCAAAACACCAAAACTGATTGTCCCTCCGGATTAAGGAGTCTCGTCATCATATAGACAGTCTTATCTCCAAAATACCCTCCTTTTTCCTCTAAATTACGTGTCCACCCTTCTCTCTCCCCTTTGTCGTTTTCCTTTGCTTCGTTGGCGCTAGAACGAATTTCGGTTTAGAGACAAACCGATACTCCCGGTTTGGTCAAAGCACAATCTGGATTATTGTAAACCAAACCCTATCGGCTCATGAACTTATAACATTTATCAAAATATTTTCAGGTTAAATTCGGTTTAGTTACTGAATTTTTTTAGATGGTAAACCGATTTCATTTCTTCTCACCGGTTTAATGGCGATTATTTTTCAGTTTTCTTGGTAACCGGATGAGAGTCAAAAATAGGACAACTCATTGGTCAAAGCGAAGAGAGAAGAGAGTAGAGGGTAAATACGTAATTTCGAGTGTTGAAAATGCCAACTGGCAATCACATCAATCTGAGTTGGCAAATTAAAAGTGGGACCCGTTTCTATCGGGATTGTTAATTCTGGATGGTGATCTGTACGTGTAACATATACGCCTCTTATTCTTCAATTCTGTTTTTAAATTATATCATTATGTTAGTGCTTAAAAATAAAACCTTTATTCCGTCATTATTTAATAGACTCAATTATTTTTAGCTGAATACGCTGTTTAAAATACGTTACAACTAATAACTAATTCGAGCCAGGTTATTGTGAAAGTGGTTTTTAATTAATTTATTTCATGAACTGTAACTTAAAGTTAATAAATGTCAACTTCGGCTGTGTGACAAACCTTTTGCACATTGTTCTTTTGGTTATCGATTTTAAACTAAAATTAAATCAAAATCTCAGAACAATTATAGCCTATTTAGATTTTTATTTAAAATTTATTATAAATCGAAATCGATTTACATATAATTATATACAGTATTACCCACATTCATCTATCCGAATCCAATTTAAACAGATTTGAAGGAATCCTAAGTAATATACTCCCAACAAAACTATATATATATATGCATATATTAGAGAGAGAGATGATGATTTTATTTTAGATGGATACAGAAACAAATCAAGGGCTTCGCTGTTTGGAAGAAATTAGGCCGTCTAACATATAAAAAAAATAATATAAGATAAAGAATAAGAAAATAAATAATGTATTTGCATAATGGTATTCCAAGACAGACATCCCTCCCTCAATATCTGAATCACCAAATCTCATCGTTTCCATCGAAACATGGTTTACACTCCTTTTTCCATTTTAATTATTAATTTATTTACACAACGACAATGTTACAAAACGTAATAATAATTTTAATTATTAACGTATGATTGCATGTGAAACTTATTAACATGAAATTGGATTTATTAAGTAAAAGAAATTAAAATCCTTGTAATTAATGTACTGAAAATATTTATTCATCGATGTGTATATTTTGTATGCCAACAAGAAAAATATTAAATGATAAAAATGCGGTCATAGTGACAGTATGCATGCACATGGGTTGCCTTGATGGCCAGTTTTGTCTTCGATGAACAAAACAATGGACGACAATACAATCAACAGATCCTATGATATATGATTATTCTTGTATCTGTACATTAACATATGGATACATGTACATACATGCATGCATACATACATATATATTAGGCGTATGTTTACTGTCACGTGTATAAATGTAAATGAAACAATATATATAATTAATACATTACAAATCTTTTTTTCTTTCAGAAACTACGTTTTTGTTTTGCAATGTTATTAGGTGAGCAACTTTACCTTATGATTTTACTTGATATTTTTTTTATAGTTTTTATATTTCGTCGTATTGCCCAATAATCTAATTGACATTCGATTACCAATGTGCCCCCTACCCTCCTACGTTAGAAAGGACGAATTATTTATTTAAATTAGTAGTAGAAAAATGTTGCAGGTTCTGCTATACCAAAATGCAATGAAACCATTTCTCTATGATTATAAATTAACATGATTTGTTAAAACTGAGTACGTCCTTTATATATCGAATTTATAATCTCCAAAATGTTTTTCAAGACAAAATTTTGTTGTTTTAATTTTGTTTCCAAAAAAAATGAAAAAAGATTCGAGATGCGTAGGATAGATAAGCTTAAAGATAGGGATACGAAGAATTTACGGTAATTTTTATATAAGATAATTAAATATTCATATTAATTTGTGGCAAGATTTCACTTGTCAAGTATACATTTTTAATGGAAAATTAGACAAATCATAGTGATAATAAGTTATACATATATACCTACGCTTACGCGTGTGACATTACACGTTATCTAATTGATCATGATTACATGTAAACATCACCACTTATTAAGGAAAATGGGGAAATAGTTTTGACTTTTAAATCATAATTAATCAAGCTCGGTTTAATTAAAAAAATAAAATAAAAATGATTTCAGAACTCAAGACTTGAGGAGCACTATTGCTTGACAACTAATTAAATTTTTTTTAAAATGACTTTAATTTGGATTTAATAAAAATAATAATTTGAATGGGTGGAATGCATTCGTCCAACAAAACTTATATAATTTATTTTTAGATAATCATTTCTTGATCATAACGTTATATCTGTTACTATTGTTTTTACGATCATCATGTTGTCAACATCACCATCATCATCACCATGGATTTTTTTTTTCTAATGACTAATAATCAAATAGAATAAGATATATTACTCTTTAGTCTTCATTTATGATTTATTGTGTTGAATATTAATTCCTTTTACCATAAGAAATACTTACCAGTACAACTGTACAAGCTAAAGTATAAACGATATTTTTTTTTATAAAAAATTTAAAACTAAAGTAAAATGATCTCTTTTTATGTTTTGTTAAATGAAAATATATAGGGATTTATATAAACCAAATAATATTAAAAGAAACCGATCCATTATATAGTTTGAATTCGCAAAAGGATTTGAGAAAAGTTCTCTATATCGTCGATTTAAACGTCGAACACGGTTTATAAACAATTCTTTTGAAAGTAGTAAACCGAAACAAACCAATTTAAATCCGTCAAAACCGGCCATACTCTCTGATAATTTATTTTTTGTTTTTTCAACGTCAAATACAAGAAGCGAAAACCATCAAATGTATAAAAATTCGATAAAATCGTCCGGAATAATTGACCTTATTAGATAGAATTACAATTTGACCAGAAAGAAATAGTCCTAACCGGTGTCAGAAAACCACATGTACCAAAGTTTCTATATTTCTGATAATGTTTCATGTATCCGACGATTGGGTCCCACATAGGGCGCATCTAAATTTACCTTTACGTATCTGATAGTGAAGCAGCACCGCGACAGAGAGAATCCAAGGGGATCACATCGGAACGAAATGAGTCTATCAGTTTGGTTCGGTTCGGTTAATTTCGGTTCGGTTTGTTTCTTGGGCCATCCTCTTTCCCAAGTAGTACAAAACAGGAAGCATGTGCAAAACCCAATAATATTAGAAAAGATGATAAGCTTATGGGCTCAGACACAGGCCCATTAACTATAGCCCAAGCCCACGTTTTGGGAAATACGATGGATGATTTTGCACTCAGATACGTCGAACAGAACACCAAGCAAGACCTAGGTTATATATATACGTTATATATAGTAACGGACACACATCCATTAACAAATTCCTTGAGTATCAAGAAAGAAACTCGGAAAAACTCTCAAAAGGATCAGAAAATGGATTTCTTGTGGAAGAAGAAAACTTGAGGCTCATACGGAACGCTGTTTCTACCTCGGCATCAGAACATTCCGATTTTATTTGCGAGGAATTCATTTCGTTCTACGCAAAAGAAAAAGATCACAACGAGACCTTACTCAAGTTCGCCAAGGTCAATTTCAATTACTTGCAGCTGCTTTACAAGAAAGAAGTGAAAACGTTCTCGAAGTAGGTTCTTGAATCTTTTCGACTGTATTAACCCTTCTGTCTTTGATATATATATATATATATAAGTCACTGTAAAAGGTCTATAATTATGCCTCATTTGCAGATGGTGGAAGGACCTGGACCTCGGATGGAAGCTGCCGCATTACTTGAGAGACAGAATCGTTGAGTGCTACATCTTTTGTATCGGGGTGTACTTCGAGCCACAGTTTTCACTCGGGAGAGCCGCATTGATTAAGTTCTTCAAACTCTTCACCATTCTCGATGATACTTACGATCCATTATCAGCAAGCCTACACCTACAATTTTTATTAGAATGTTGTTGTTTTTTTTTTTAAATGTTTAGATATATTGTTAGAGACTTTCACCTATCCATAATTAACAAGGAAACCCAAAATGAACAGGTGGGATCCGGATGGGATGGACAAGCTACCTCCTTAGGATGCTGTGCCTCGGCAAATCGCGATGAGACTTATCAACGCTGACCGGATGGGAGAAGGATACACCAATCCTGAAGACAATTTCAAGAACTACATCACCTCTATCCTTGACGACCCCATTTCCCCTCTGAAACTCTTTCTCACCTCTACAGAAAATATCTATGTGAGACGAAGGGCATGGGGTCGTCACTCGTCAGTGCCACAAAAATGTACGGTATTCAATTTTTTTTTATAGAAAAAAAAAACAAAGCTCTCGTAGGGCGGTAACAAAATAAAATTTAATATGAAACTGCGATGCCGGTTTTACAAAATATTTTTTTTTACAAAGGAGCAGACTAAATACTTCAGAAAGCTCAAGTCATGCATGGAATGGAAGTCTGTAGCATTGGGTTTAACCTCTCTCATTTTTTTTGTAATTGCATTCAGAGCTTCTCCAAATTGGTAAGTTAGTATTGGATCGGCCAGGTTCGAAACTACTCGACGACATAGTTTGGAGCCACAGCCAATATCCTCTCGTCTCTTTGGGATGATCGTCTCGTAGCTTCTGCTTCCTCTGCTGCTTCCCGACCATCGTCTAACACTATCAGATGCCCTTCTCTTCTCACCAGACTCTGTCATTCCATTGCCTTGTTAGCTACTTAATCTCAGTGTTTTAAAGGAAACAAAAAATGATGATGATACCTCGATGATGGCCCTGAGTTTCTTGATATCGAGTTTTACTTGTTCTTGCGAACTGTATTTCTTCTTCTCGTTCTGCTGGTCCACGTACCATCTGATCAGTTCCTTCTGTCTCATTTCCTGCTAATCCTGCACCTGAACATGCGGTAAATTAAGAATCTCTTTTATTAGGCCGGGTCGGGTCTGAGAAAAAGCTATAATCCCTTCCACGCACATATTCTTTGTAACGAAAAACTAGTTATACTAATTATTTGTATGATGAACAAAATAGTGAAATAGCTGGCACAGAGCAGGGGGTAGCGTGGTTCACCATCTCTATTTTCAGTTTCTTCATGGTGTCGAAGGCATATAACAAGTGAATGAGTGATCCGTTGAAATTCTTCTTCGCTTATCACCAGCTTTGGAGCTCCACCGTTATCTGCTAAACCAAGATGATGTTTACTATGGTTCTCACGCATACAGCTAAAAACGATTAGGAATAATAACATACCTGTCTTGCCAGAAGGTGGCTCGGCTGTACCATTCTCTTGAGCTTCGGTCCCATCAGTGCCGTCATTCCCATCATCCCTATCCTCGATGTTGTCACGATTATCATCTTGATACTCGGAGAGATCAATGTCACCTGACTCAACACTATGTAAGAGAACGATGTGCCTTTTTTAGGATATGATTTCCAGAGAAATCAAGAGATATAGATATAGAGACGCTTAGGGCTCTACCTGATAACAGAAGTTTTCAACAGTCTGACAGCCAATAGAACATGACTTGGTAGCACCTGAAATGAAAATTTCCAGGGTAAGGCAAATACAGAGCAAAAATAAAAAGGACCAGCAGTCAGTAGAGAGTCGAGACAAACACCTGAGTTTCCAAATGAGCCCTGGCAATGGCTTCTGAGAGCCTGATCAATGCCTCTAGCTGTCTGACCGTCATTCTATAAGCAACTCTTGTCCCAGGAGTTGTATCACCTTTGCGTAGAGTAACATAAGACTCGACCAGTAGCTTCCTTGCTTCCGAGCTTAGCTGTGACATGATTAGGAGATCAAAATGATGTCAGCGTCTGATACAGAAGAACCTTTCAAAGTCAAACTACTCTAAGGTTACATGAGTGAGTGAGCGACAACCTTTGGTTTCAACGTTTTTGCAAATGCAATGTACCGCTTGAGTTGTGCAGTACTGAATGGGGGAGAGAGAGCCTCTTCATGCTTCTGGTGAACTCTCACGATGTGGTGGGCAATGTGGTAATCAGTTATCTCATCAGGATCATCAATCATAACATACACAAGATCAAACCTCGAGAGAATGGCAGGCGGGAGAGCAACATTATACTGGAAAAACAACAGATGATCAGTTCGTCTTCAGATATAAGCTTCCATGATCGTTCTTAAACAATATACAGACATCAAGACTCTTTGATAATCTTAAAGAAGATAACCTCACCTTGAGTGGTTTAGACTTGTCATAGCGCCCGCCCACAGGGTTAGCTGCTGCTAGGATTGATGTTCTAGCATTCAGGGTTGCTTGTATCCCTGCTTTTGTAATGCTGATTGTTTGCTGCTCCATGGCTTCGTGAATAGCAACCTGCATAATCAAATGCATAAGTTACTATATTTGCTACATACCAGGAAACTAGATCCTCCATAACAAAAGTAAGCATGATGCTCCTTACCTGATCTCTGATATCCATTTTATCAAATTCATCAATGCAACATATCCCATTATCAGCAAGCATCAGAGCACCAGCCTATTAAAGAGTTAGATAGCTTTTATTAGATATCTTGATCGACAAGAGTCAGAGCACATAAATCACACATGAAAGGAGACTAGAAATGTTAAGCAACTCCAAGATTTATACTTGAGCCAACAGTTCTAGGTTACACAAACGTTTAATGGATACTTTTCATGGGAAATAGTGAATTGCTAAGTCTAGATTCTTCATTGGTTTCCTGTACTCTCGATTCGAGTACAGTACAGTACCTCTATACAGAATTCTCCTGTTTCCGGTTCTTTAGCCACAGTTGCCGTCAACCCAGCTGCAGATGAGGATTTCCCAGACGTATAGACAGATCTCGGTACTATGCCTGATGTATACCTGCAAATGACAAATCGTAAAGTGAGGCTGGAATTCTAGGGGGAAAACAGGAGAATGACAAAAGGTAAACTTGGAAAGAGAATTCATTACTTGAGGAACTGGGATTTAGCACAGCTGGGATCCCCAACTATACAAACATTGATGTCTCCTCTCAGGTTGATGCCTTCGTGCGTAATCTTGTGCACACCACCCAACAGCATGAGTAGAATAGCACGCTTGATGTCTTGATGACCAAAAACCGCTGGGCCAATGCTACCTACTAACTTGTTGAAATAATCGGGAGTGTTTCTCATTTGCTGAATTTCATCTAGCTCTTCTGTCTGCCAAATTCAGACAAGGAAAATTTCACCAATTACATATTTCATAACCATAGAGGAAGTTAGCTCAGAAAAACAAATTTTGGGTTCTACACGAAAATATCAGCAACAATGTCAAGAATGCTAAATTGAACTGACACTTAGATGTCGAGAACATAACTAGTTAAAACAAAGATTTGCTGGACTTGTATCTGAGACACAAAAAAGTTTCAAGAGCTTTGGAAAATAAACGAAACAGAAAACTCACTGTGAAATTCTGATTATTTTCGTCGGCATCTTTTTGTCTGTTCCGGATGTCAGTGTTCCTACTACCATCAGCAATCTAGACAAAGAAACATCATTGATCAGAAAAACCCCACTTGGGATTGGTTAACAGCTTCTGTAGTTGACAAACCTGCACTGAGTTTGCAATGAAGGCAAGGCGGTATGAGAGATCTCTAACTCCCAGTGCCTTGAGGCCTTTGACACCTTCATTTCCAACGTTAGAGCTTTTCTGTTGTGATGAGTCCCGACGACATTCTGCTCTCTCCCCGGTAGAAGCCAGTGCCAATATGTCAGGTATCACAACCACGGTTCCCGTAAAGATAACCCTATGAGCACAAAGTCATTAGAACCGGTAATCAGTGGAAACTCCTGATTATTAAAGGGTTAGAAAGCAACTTAAGCAAATGGCGCAAGATTAATCTTACGTGTCACCAGCCCTGGCCTGCTCTACAATCTCATGGCGAAGAATGACATCCAAGGACCGTGGTAAGGAACCTGCAGGTATCTCTTTTGATGTCTCCTGCATTCTAACTCTTTGCCAGTCAGTGAACTTGCTCTCCTGTCTAAGTAATGCCCATTTTGCTCTGTTGAGACAAGTTGGACTCACACAGATTGTAGGCTGCAACAATGCCGTAGATTTCAAGAAAAAAAGAGAGCATCAAATGGGGAATCTGAACTATACAATTGTTCTTGCGTAAATGGAAAACATGGATAGATTAGGACAACCAGAAACTAAGAAATTCAATTACCTGCGTGTACTTAAATTGTTGTTCGACATTCTTTATTACACTGCCACACTCTAAGCACTTGAATGTCCCAAAAAGAAGTTCAGGCCTCACTTCACTTGTCCGTGTAACCACACCAGACACCGACACCAACTTCCCAATTTCGGCAGTGGCTAGTTCCCTCAATCTAAAGAGAGTGACATGGATCAGCATCACAATCACCGGACAGTATACAAAACAACTCGCATCAATAAAGAAAAATTATGAATGACTCAAGAAAAATGGATAAAGATGATCAAATTAACTGGAAAACAAATGAGCCGTTTATGCTTTATGAGGGACAATTTTTCATGTTTCAACAAAAAAATGATAAAATTAAGCTTCTTAGCTATAAGATGGTTAAAAAGAACAGAATAATGTTGAAGATATACATGAATCGGACTCAAATGGCGAATACCTTTTTGTGAAGGGGAGGTTGTAGAAGGCGAAATTGATATCTTTGTTCGGAGTTTCATCAGAAGTAAAAGATGGGTACAGTTCGAGCACAAATCTCTTGCACGCACTCCTCAAATACGGCTCAAACCTGAACAATTTCATGCCAAAAGCAAAGCATATGTTAATTCCCCAAACAAAAACTAGGGTTTCCGCCAAATTCCCCCATTACCCACTAAAAAGAAAGAACCCACCTCAGGTATTCATCGGCTACTGCCTTCTGAAGAGCATCATTGTAGCGCATGACATGAGAGAAATCGATGAACATCGTGGTCGATTCGATGTTTTTCATGGCTTCCACTTCCGCTTCATAGTACAGCTCCGGCTTGTTTGGGTCCAATCGAAAACTGAATCAATTTCCATCATATTAAAACTAAAGATATTGCCAGCAACTAGATCGAAACAGCAAAAACTCCAATTGAAGAACTGATAAACACAAACCTCTTGAGGAAGTCCAGGAAGAGGTTCTCCACTTGAACCGCCTTTTCATCCATGAAGAACCCTCCAAAAGCCTCCATTTACAAACGACTGCACCGAAATCTTGTAGCTCTCTCAAAAAATTCCACAGCGAAACAGAAGGACGAAGAAACCCTAGACACGTTCAAACGGTAAGCGGCAAAATGGAAGGGGCACTTTCACCAGTATGGAAGAGAGAGCGTGCCGTCGTGGCGGGAAACTATGTGGGCCCCGTCAACAGTTTCCCGCCAAAACAAGCAAGCGATGTTCAGTTACAAATTGCATAGTTGCTGGGCTTAATAAATATGGGCTTTAAATGGACTTTTCAAATATGGGCTTTTTTAAAATGGGCCTTTAACGGGTCGATGTAAATGTTGCACTAGACGAGGATTATCCATGTGGCAAGCAATTCGAGGCAATCTTTGGACAAACAACGCGAACCAGAGCCACGAATCTCATCCTCCTCCAGTCCGATACAAGAGAATTTCAATTGATTTTCTAATAGAATTTATTAACGTTGCATGAAATTTCCGGTCGTCTTCTTCAATTGGCGTTCGACTGAGAAAACCAGAGATATGCAGAATCTGTGAGCTGTTATAGTGGAAGAGGACAAGAAGGATAAAGAAGAGTTAAAATGGCGTCGTCGCGGATGTTTCAGTTGCCGTTGCAGTACTACACTTCTCCATCTCTCTGGGGTTCTTCCGGTCGCCGGAATTCCAGATTCTTCTCGCCGAATCCGGTGGGTTTTAACCGGAAAATCGGACTATGCGGTGGCGGAGATGACCGTAGCGGGAGACGGGGGACGAACAAGAGGTACGTAAGTCTGATGGTTCAGGTGGAGAAAGGGGACGCGACGGAGACTCGAGTGCCGGTTCCGTTAACCGTGGAGCAGCAAGAGAAGGAGAGGAAAGAGAGAGAGAAAGATGAAGACGAAGAAGAAGGAGAGGGAGAAGTGGATCCGGATGATCTCGAATATGTCAGCGAGATCAAAAGGGTTTGTGTTTCCTTTTGTCTCTCGCTTTCTCCCTGCTTTACCTGATTCTGATTTGGGATTCAAACTCATCCGCAACTATGGATACTGTAACTGGAAACTAAACTATAGACTATGATATTGCTGGAGTACATTAATTCAAGCTTATAGATTCACTCTTTAGTAAAAACTTGGAGCTTTAGAAACAGATATAATGCCGATAACAAAGAGGCAAGCATGAGATTAAACAAGGGTTTTTGTAATTTTCTAGTACCCTTCTTGCCTTGTTCTCCTGAATTACTTGGGCAAAGTTCATATGGATTTTCTTTTCCTATCAAATAGGAAAATTCAGGAAGGTAAACGGTTTGAACGTGTGTTTATGTTAGGCATTGGAGCTTCTCAGGAAGAACAGGGACATGCTCTTCAGTGAGGTAAGCCCATCCCAGATCACTATGCTTTGACCTTATGAGCATTTACTTGATGATTTTTCTTATGTTCTCGGAAAGCTGAATGTGTCCTGGTTGTGGGTGGCATATCACGATTAAGATCTGAATGTTATACTTTGTCCAGAAAATGTAGTAGATCATTGCCCAGGATGAAATATTGAGACTTTGGTGTTTGTTGCAAAATCGTAGGTTAAGCTGACTATCATGATCGAGGACCCAAGAGAGGTGGAGAGAAAGAGATTGCTTGGGATAGAGGACGCTGACGGCCCAACCAGGGAAGATTTAGCTGAAGCCTTGGTGCAGGTGAGTTTTCATGCCTTTGTTCTCATTATATTGAATTATATACCGCTCAAATTTGAGTGGACCGACCACAAGTCAGACAAAATCTGACTTCAAACACATTTTTGCGAATTGCGAGACATGAGCCATGTTATGCATCAGTCATCCTCGAGGAACTTCAAGACTGATCATTAGATTACTATTGTGAAATGTAGTCGCTACATGCAATTTCTGCTCTTACTTGATATAGACGGATGCATTGAGTGGCACAGTACCCCTGTTTTCTTATCACGGGAACAATATGCTGCCGTGTCTAATATCGTGTCTCAGTACATAAACCTTTCCATGGCATTTCTACGTTTGAAATAACAGTTCTATTCACCCTTTAATACGTATGTATGGTGTCACTGCAAATTTTCGAGTTCGAGTAGCTTGGCTTGAGTAGTTTCATGGAAAGATTTGAGTAACTAAATGATGAAAGTAGCTTTATGATAGTTGTTAAATGAGGATCAGTCAAAATACATGGTGTGTTGGTATTGTTAATTCTTTACTCACAGGTAAATGAAGAGAAAGTCCCCAAAAATCGACTTGCACTTCGGATGCTGTATGAGGAGATGATCAATTGGCCAAATTTAGAGGTACCTTTTCACAAATGTTTCTGTTTTGTGCATTCATTGACACAAGGGAGGTGCCCACTTTTTGTCTATGGAGATTCTAATCCATGCTGATTCATGATACATCTGTTTTATTCTACGTGGAGAAATTGTATCAAATCATTGACATGTCTTCACAAATAAATTAAAAAAAATTCTATCCAACTCTGAAAAAATGGTTGTAGCTTGTAAGACACAGAAACCTTGACGAATCAGATCATCTATCCTCAGCAAGAATTTGAATATTGATACGCCTTTCGTTTTCAAGTTTAAGTTGACGGAGGTGTTGTGTACCTGAAGACCAAAAGGCAAAGGATAATAATACCCTTTGCACAGCATTGTCTTTGGCTGGCTTCTTTGATGAAATCCTTTGCCATCCATCATTTCAGCAAAGTCGTTAATTAAGTAGAATAGAAACTGAACGTATGTGTTGTTAGTTTTGACCTGAAGCCTTATCTTACAGAGATATTTTGGTCATTACGTTTTTTATCTGACAAGATTGAGGCTACAAAGACAACACGAGGCAAGTCATTATACGCAAAAGCCACGGATACGGGAGTTGATCCGAAAGAGGCAGCCAAGAGACTCAACATGGATTGGGATTCAGCTGCCGAAATTGAGGATGCCAATGTCAATGACAGTGAAGAAGTACCTGCAGCACTGGTCCGTTTCCATCTCTCTTACAGCTCCTCTACATAGATAAATTAATGTTTCACATGTGAATATCTTAGGCATCGGTTAATTTATTAGTCATCGATCGAACAGGCCTAGTTCAATGGAAGTAGATGAAAAAAACAAGGTGACAAAACTCTAGCAAAAGATTCACCGTACGATCTCATTCTTTTCCAGATTTGTGATCTTTATTCGTGTCTGATTACTACGCGACAGTTTTGAACTTGGGTTCTGATCGATTCTTCCCCTTCTTCTGGTTTTATTCTTTGCAGGGTTATGGAGCATTGTACTTAGTCTCGGCTTTTCCAATTATCATCGGTATATCTGTTGTGTTGATCTTATTTTACAATTCCCTCCAGTAGAACTGCTTCCTTAATCACTCTGGCAATGTACAAATTTTAGGCTCAAACACCACCAACCACTGTCATGAATATGTTTGTACATCGAAATCACGAACTGGAAACTTTTCGTGTTTGTCAAGTTTAAATCGTGAAATGAACTCAGCTTACTTTGACTATTTCGCTGTCTTTTCTACACATTCCTCGGCTTATCTTCTGCAGCAGGTAAGAATATTTACTCTCAGAGATATTAAAGAAAAGCCGTTCGTGCGGGCATATATCTGTCTTGATTTGGTCTTGTCTGAAATGGAAAGTGATACATTGGGCATGTTCCGAGTCAACTACACTGATGATGATGTCTTTGGTTTTTTTAATATAGCAATCAAGTCAACCACCATGGTGAGATTATATTATGCAGGAAAACATACAGAGGACGTGCGAGCCATGCCCCAAGACGTGCAGCCCATCCTAATCCGATCTTTAAATATCAGTTTGTATCTTTGGCCTTTGCCACTGTCTTTTTCATCATCACCGACTCGAATTCTCTGTCCTCGGAAACTTGCAGGTGTAGTAAATGGCAACAGCGGTGGTCACGGCAACCACGGCGAGTTTCGGGGAGGAAACTCACGAGGACTGGCATGAGTTCGAGGTTCAGGAGCCGAAGATTCTTGTCAAGAAGACGAGTATGCAGTCGGAGAGGCAGATTTCGGTCGACCCGAAATCTCTGAAGGCTTTATCTTTATCAGCGTCCATGAGGAGGAACATTAGTTTCAATCTGGTACCTCCTCCGGCGATTCCAACTCCTAGGGACTTGGATGTGCCTTTGCCTCTGCCTCTTCAGCCCGTGAGGACAAAGTTCGTGAGCTGCAGCCTCCCGAACTCAGCCTCAACATCCCCTAGACAGAATTCGGGCGTGTTGAAGGGAAACAAGAACAGAGGCCAAGACCTGGACCTCAGGCCGGTGGGAGACAGAGCTGTCACGTTTAGGAGAAGCAAGTCTTGTGGGGAAGGCCGAGCATGTGCTCCATCACTCGATTTCGACATCTTGATGCACAGATCGAAACACGGGAATCATCAGACAAGTTTCTCCTCGAAAACCGTTTCCCACATGAGCAGCATCAGCAGCAGCTTCTCCAAAACAGAGTCCAGCAAGAGCAACAGGAGCATCAAAAGCATGAATTCATTCGAAGACGGGTTCAAATGCAGCGCTCTCTGCTTGTACCTCCCGGGATTCGGCAAAGGAAAACCAGTCCGATCATCCCGAAAGGACGATTCTTTCACCAGAACCACCACGATGGCGTCTTCCACAGCAAGAACAGCCTCCATTAAAGACAATAACACAGTGATTTCAGCACGAGCTTCCCTTGAGAAGTTCGAGTGTGGGTCATGGAGCTCGTCGGCTTTGATATACGAAGACAACGTAGAAGCCGGAGGCCATTTCTTCGACTTGCCGTCTGAACTGATAAAGGGTGGCTCGGGTGGGAACGACCAGGACGAGCCGGTTTCGGCGGGTTTCGGGTTTT